AAGCACAAAAATATGAACGTTTAGAAAGGAGCAAAATACCTATTAAATGAACTTATGTAGAGATGATAGAAGATTGCAATGGGCACATACAGAGTGTTAAGTATATGTAGTATCCTACTTTTTTTTACAGATAAGCTATTCTCAATACTTTTTTTACAAAGCTAAGCAGTGGCACTGTGTAGGTAATGATTATAGGCTACTTCAGTGAATGCACAGAGATAATTTCATTTCTGTGAGTAGTGCCATTGACTACAATGGGACTATTTCCATATGTAAAGTTAACCTGGAGCACAAGTGTGGGCAAAATTGAATTGTGGGAAAGACTGAATATATATTTCACCTCTTACAAAAAGCGTCTCAGGTAACAGAAATATGAAAGGTCCATGTAGACCTTGTGTTCTGGAAGATCAGTTACGGATTATCTTGAAATGAGAGTGTGAAATCTACGTATAATCCAGCATTGCAAAACAACAGAACTGGAAATGTAAGCAAAGACCCAGTTGTTAAGATGCTTTGTTCTTTTACAGTTACGAAAATCTTTTATCCAAGGCTTTCAAACACTTAGTGCTTAAATGAGTGTTATATAGTCTTTTAGAAAGGTGCTGTTAAGTATCATCACATGGAGCTGTGAGGAGATTATGAATGTCTGGTCAAGGCTCATGTGATGAAATAATGAGCATTTGCAATTCCTAATGCTGCCCTTAATGATGAGGAATTATCTGTCCTAATGATCAGTGTTGGCCGTAGGCCACAGGTTGGGCTCTGGCTGTGGCTGTTGCACAGAAAATTCGTTGGCCAGTTTTACCTTTTACCTGGAAGAATGGGAAGGCTATGACTCTTCCCAGAAAATTCAAGACCGTGCTGAGGAAAAAGTAGATACTGTCTGTTAATAACACACTGGTCTCTGCAAAGAGAATCTCTTCAGGAGGTTTGGAATAGGGCACTGTCTTGCTCTTTTCTATGGTCGCTTAACTCTGCTTCCCAAAATCAAGATACTCTTTTAGACCTGGTCTGCAGCCTCTGTTTGCACTGCTGGTAGTGCAGATGAGCAGGATATTCTTTGCTCATCTACTGTAACCCTGGGTGTGTTCCCAACCGTACCACCCAGCACAGCAGCACTTGGAGTGTCAATAGCTTATTGTGTTCTGTGGACGTGAGTGAGACATCTCCATTGAAGCACTTCACTACTGTAACTGAGATTTCCTTTGAAAGACCGTATTGTATAATGTATAATCTTTCCGTTTTATGTACCAATGGTGAAGTATTTAAATATAAATGTGCTAAGTTTCCAGCATGTGGGAAAATTCTAAGACATTTCTGTGGTGGAAGGAGGTAGTTTATGGCTGTGTTTCTGAATGAGATTAGTTGCCCAGAGACTATACTAAGCATGGTATTAAAACGATGAAGAGCTAAAGAGAACCCACCTCAGCTGCTCCTGATGGATCACCTTTTCCTTGTATACCACTGCAGGAGCTTGGACTAGAGTACTATTGAGCCAGACTCACTCTGCCCATACTAGAAGGCTACTACTACTGGCTTTCACCCCATATCCAAATCAGTGAAGGGAAGGAAATCTGCAAGGAATCCCTCTGCCAAAAGAAAAACCAGGAGTTATTTTTCCTTTAGAATCTGTGTAGGGACAGTGTGGGGAGACATCAGCTTGGAGATGTATTTGTAAAGCTTCTCAGAGAAGACTTGGTTGTGTTAGCTGCATCAACAAACCTTTGCATTGATGCATGATACAGTTAACAAAAAATTTTTGCCGGAATTAAAAAATTTTTACCTGGGTTAAATGCTGTCTGTCCCTGAACAAAATCCCCTGCAGCAGCACACAGATCTGTTTTTATGCTTGGGCTCTTGTGTCAGAGTCATTGCCCTGAGGAGTGGAGGTCTTTCTAGAGGAGAGTTGTAACTCTGACAGCAGATAATTCATGTATAAGAGCTGGTTTCTGCGTGAGAGGGAAAGGTGACTTTGGGAAGAGCCGAGGCTCAGCATGCCCAGTGGCAGCGTACCCGTGGGGCAGGCTCAATCTGCAGGCTCCTAGTGATGCAGACACCTTTTTTTTTTTTGGTACTTTCCTCCGAGCAAAGTATTCAGAAATGGCCTGTCCCACATGCCACTAGGTGGCACTTTAGGGACATGTCAGTCGCTCGGTTTTGTTCATTATGCATGAGCTGCATCACCAGAACTAGTTGTCTCTTTGGGGTTTTTCCCCCTTTATTTTTTTTTTTTTGGTCAGATATTTCTTTATTTTTACCAGTCCCTGCTCCGCTGGCTGCTGAGCTTTGCCATCCTCCATCCTGGCAGCAGGGAGAAGTGGCCAGACCAGTGACCCAGCCTCAGGCAGCGGGTACTGCAGCCCTGCAGCACAGCTGCCACAGCCACATCACAGCCCTCAGCTCTCAAAAAAATGTGTCTTGCATCACTAGGAACGGCGATACCAAACTGTTGGAAATTTCGGCATCATCCCTGCAATTTATATTTGCTTTTACCAGGGTGCAAAGTTTACCCTTTTTTTCTTTTGTTTAGTTCTCTTCAGTTTAAAGCAGTGTTCTTCTGCAATGACACCATTAAAAAAATAAATAAAAAGAAATAAAAAAAAAAAAGGGAAGAGAGGAGGAAGAAGAAAGGGTGTTTTTGCTAAAGTTTGAGGTTTGGTTTTTGGTATTTTTTCTTCCCCTCCAGGCCCTTTATCTTACCATGACTTTTTCCGCTTTTTTGCAACTGACATTGTAGAGTACTGGTCTATTCAATTACTCCTAAGAGGTTTGAACACACTGGTTCTTCAAAAGCTGCATTTTTTTTATCTATACATAAATAACATGGGGTTGGTCTCATTTATTTTTTTTAATTCATTATGTGAAATAAGTCAGAATATTCATGCTTTTGATGCAAGTTTTACTGTATGCTCCAACAAGAGTGTGTGCACCAGAAACTTCCAACCTGACCAGGTTAGGGAGGGTTCTAGGACTTCCTGTCCAAGAAGGGTCATTAAGAGCTGTCTCTCATGTACCTTGTCACTGTTGTGGGTTGTGCAGCAAAGCTATACCATGAGGAATTTATAGTATGCATATTACATGGCTCTCTGAAAGGCTGGGTTTACTCTTGCTGTCCTTAAGTGAATGAAAGATTTGTCAAAGTGATGTGGACCAAATTTACGATGTGGTTCTGTTTGTTATTTGAGCTTTTCTATCCCCAAAGCATTCATGAAAGCCTTGCGGACTTTGCCAGGCTGCTGTTACCAGTGCTTAGAGCCTTCATTTCTTTCAAACACAGAAAAAGTGGTTGTAGAAATCAGAGAGGTTATGGGCTACTCAGCTTTGCTGATATAAAAAATACTCAGTTGCATTCAATGGACTTTTTTGGTTTTTTACCATTTCACTCTCATTGGACCAGAAATCTACAGTTAGAGAGGAAGCTCTTCAATACATAAACAGCTTTTCAGAATTCAAATGTTAGTATTCAGTAGTTATTAAAATTTTTAAAAATCAAGATATTATTATTCAGATACTGGAATATTACAGTGTGAGGGGTTTGGGGTTTTTTTAACCATCAAGTAACACTACAGATGTACCACACTTAAAAGAGGGTGGGAGAGAGATCTTGTCAGTCAAAATACCTTTTCCCTCTCCCCTGGGGCACTTCACATGTGTTTTAAAAAAATAAATTCCAAATTTCCCTCCTCTGTGCACATGTTTGACACCATATGGTTGGAGAACAGCAGTAACCTGACAGAACCACATTTTCCCTGTACCTTCCTCTACAGTTCTTATTGTGTCTGTTATGGACAAAATGAAAGTAGTATGAAAAAATTCCTCCTTTTTAAATATACCAAAGTCTGTGCTTTCTGTCATTTTTGTTTAACTTACAGTTAAGCACTGGTAAACTTGTGACTGCTACAGAGCTTGGCAGGCTATGCAGAAACCTCTTGGCAACAGTGAGTTAGGTTCTTCAGTGCGCAACAAGTTATTATGGCTAAAATTTTGGTCCCTTGAAAGTTTGAGGTTTGCCTCAGGCTTGGTTTTTCACTTGTATAGAAATGAGCCTTTCTTGTGGAGGGAGCAGAATGGCAAGTTGCCCCTTCTGCCTGGGGGCTCTTGCCAGTGTGGCTCCAACTTGGCAGAAGCTGGGAAAGAGGAGAGGTTGTCTGCTGGTGCCAAGTGCCCTCAGCCTTCTGCTTCTACCTGCCTTCCCCATCTTGGAGAGCATTTCCATACTTTCTGGACAGAAAACAGCTGCACTGTGTTTATACCGTGTTTGCTGCCGTGTGCCCAGGGACAGGCAGCTCCAAATCCTGCCACCCTTCCCTATGCTGTGCCCTGTCAAAAGATGCAGAGAGGTTTCACAAAAGGCAAAGCAAGGGATTAACCCTCTATTTTAATTTGCTGCTCAGTCAGATATGTTGGCAGGAGGGTGTTTTGTTTTGCAGATGTGTAGACCTGGGTGGTGAGTGTTCATCCCAGTTTCTGTTTGAAACGTGAGAAGGGAGGAGGGAAGATTTATTTGTCTGCTTTTATGACTCGTGTTTTCAGTAACTTTGCTGGAATTTTTGGTATGATTCATGCTTTCACACTTCAGCCTTGCAAACTTCAAAGACAGAGGTTTACTCCAGTGAATTTTCATCGGTTTCAGGTGATAATAAGGTGACAGGGTGCATCCAAGATCTTTCTAGCTTTTATCCACCCTCCTTAGTTTTTCTCTAAGTATCTAGGCCATATGGGTAACTCTAGAAGAAATTGTGAGTATTAGATTGTTTACATTCATCAGTTCCTAGTGCTTCACAAAGTTTTCTTCTGTTTTCTAAGCACAGTAAAATGCAAGAAAATGGTTTCATTAAAAATCTGCAAAAGACATATGTCATCCATTCAGCTGTCACCCGAGATCTCCATTTTCCCTACTGTTGAATTGTTAAAGTAACTTTTCTTTTGTGTGTAACATTTCCTTTCATTGACTTTATTGTATGTGACTGGGTGTAGCACTGACTGATTTGTTGTTGCAGACAGAGCAACCATCTGAGGTTGATTTACATCCTCAGATGAATAGACCCCCATCGCAGGCAGAAGAAAACAGTTCAGCAAAAAAGGTGAGACCTGCACACATTGTACCATTATGGAGTGATTTGCCTTCATCAACAGATGTGGTTGTTTTAAGTTTTAAAGCAATTAAACAGAGGGTTAAGGTTATGTTTTCAAATGTTTACCTTCTGTGGAGGTCAAGACGCTGGAGAGAACTGGGATCGTGTGTGACATCAACTTGGATAAATCATTAAGAAGCTCTTAGTACATACACGTTGATGCATGTGCTTTAAGAGAGGCAGCTTGCCATTTATTTCAAAATCAATAGGAGAGCCTTAGGGAGCCTTGTGGAGCCTTAGGGAAGACAAAAAAAGAGTTTGATTGTACTCGACCCTTGTCTCGCTGTAGTTCTTGCACTTCTTGGTTTCAGTTATTGAGGATTTAATTTTGATGTAAACACACCTGTTTGCTAGAGGTCAGGATCTACCACTAAATGTACATAGACTGGGAGAGATTTACTCAAGATGTGCAGTTTCTAATATGTTTTTGTATGAGCATATAATTGTATAAAGTAAACACTGAAATTGCAATGGCACTCTTCAAAGGGCCTTGCTTAGGGATGGACTGGCCTTAGCAGTGGCTGTGAGCATTTCCCCTCTCCTGGTCATGGGCCCACCACCTCCTTCCACCAGCTCCTGGCAGAACAGGTTTTGATAGGGGGCAAATACAGATTCTCACCCCTCTGGCCCCTCCTGCAGCCAGAGAGCACCTGCAAGACCTTTGCTTAGCCCAGCCAAGAACTGTTTGCAGGTGCTGTGTGTAGTGTGTACCTTGCCCAGGGAGCACCATCACCCTTCTTACTCTAACAGGAGGCACAGACAAATGTCCAGTGTCATCATTTTCTGTGTGTGATAGGGCTTTCCAGGCAGTGTCCTTGTTCCTGTAGTGTTCATCACATGCTACTTCTAGCCTGTCCCAGCTTCTTCCTTGCTCTGCTTTATAGCCCTGCTGGGGAAATGAAGTCCTGGTAATCCACTTACTTCATGCTCACGCTTATCCCACCTGGATCTCTAAAATGCAGCGAAGCCCCAGGCTGTGGGGTGTGGGAGGCAGGTTGCTGTTGTGGTGCTGACCCACCTTCCAAAGCCTTGTGCAGCAACAGGCAGCCAAAGAACCCGTGCAGAGGGATCTGCTTTTACGTATTGGATTATTGCTTACAGTATTGTGTTTCAAATGGCAAAGGAATTTATCCTGTGGATTTGGTAGGGTTTGGACAGTTTAAGGTAGACTGGGATTGTATGTCTAGCATCCCACCAGTTTATACTTGTAGAAGGCATACACAAGTTCCTCACTTGCCACATGTGGTGTTTGTAGGGACCTGTGCATGTGCACGGGATTTCAGAGCATGGTATTACCAGAGACCTGTGCAGTCATGATGTGCTGATGTCCTGATCAGAACATCTCATAATATTTTTAGATCTTTTTTTCCAGTAATGACAGAACTGTTTTTTAATGTTGAAACCCTTTTTTCCTTATAATTCAAATTCCTTTAATAATTGCAATCCCTCTAATACTAATGATTGATGGTCTTATGCTGGTTTCATTTTGTATCACTCATAGTGGTCTCTTCTTGTGTCAGGCTGCTTCTTACAGTGTTGGTTTTTTTCTCATAATTGCTGTGTCATTAAATATTTCCCCATTTATTTTTTTCTTATTTTACTAACATTTGATCAAAACTTAGTAATGCATGTACTCTAGCCCAGTAAACTGTTCAATAAGAAAATTTGGTCTCTGGTTTTGTCTGTGGTGCTAAAAAAAACTTTCTCAAGTCCCTTCAACTTTTGAGTCTTAGCTTTCTCATTCATGAAATGAGGCAGTAATAGTTATATCCCTTGTAAAACAAATCCAATAATAAAATACACTGAAAATGATATATTTATATTTCAGTTTTAAAACAGCTATAAGGCATTAAAACTGTTCTCATTGCTAAAGAAATGATGTCTTAATTTAAAATAATTAAAACTCTTCTTACCACTGAAGTCATAAAAATCCAAGACTCTGTTTGACCTAGAAAACCCACACTATTTATTTGATGTAATTTATCAAGAGAAATAACTGGCCTTCTATACTTCCAACATGTTAATTTTGCATGGATAATTTTATATATTTGTATTTCTAAGCTATCTTCAGTGTTGCTTCATGTAAGAGAGGAGGGGAGAAGGGAGAAACTCCACACCAGATGTGTGAGGCAGTGAGATGGGATACAATTGATTGATTCATTATTAATTCTTACCAACTGAGCATAATCAAAATTAAATCTTGCTTTGGTTTTAATGCTTTTGGGTCAACTGGGGGCCAGTATATGTATTTATACCCCTCCCTCCACCTTCGCCCATTGCACACAGAGCTACACAATACAATCCAGATGAAGACAAAACACTAGCATAATCATTTAATTCATTAAGGGACTACAAGCGTTATTGTTCCTTTTTCAAAGTCAGAAAAGTGAGAAGCTATTACCAAATTTGAATTAAGCTCTGTACCTCTTTAAATTATGAAATCTTTGTCCAGCTGTCAGCAATTTATGTGTCACAAATATTCTCCAGCCTAATGATGGGACACATATGGCCTGACTTAATGTTGCTGTGCTTCTTCCTTTCAGGAGGTTGTTCTTGCTCAGCCACCCTCCAAACCTGCCCGCAGGAAGCTCCGGACAGAGGCACAAGGGCTGGAGACCCCTGAGCTTTCTCCCACTATAAATGTGACTTCTTCCCAGCCAGCAGCCAAGGCTCATCTCCCAGTTCAAAAGTAAAAACCTGTACTTAGCATGCCAAACTGCACCATGAGGTCTGATGTGGCAGGGTTTCCTCTTTGCATAATTCTGTGCTTAATAGTTCTGGTTTTGAGAGTGCTTCACTTGATACAGGTCTCTGAAATGTACATTGGTCTTCTAGAATGCAGACTAAGCCTGTAGTGACTGTTGGTGGTATTTGATTGATAGATAACCTCTTCAAAGGTGTCTTACTTCTGTACCTAATAGACATGTCTGAAGAGCAAGCCTAGCTGTTCAGCCAGCATCTCTAACACAACTTTTATTTACGGCGGATTAGTTGGAGGGGGAACCTTCAGGCCCTGGGTGCCAGCCCAGGGTCCCCCTGCCCCCACCACATGGCCTGGCAACCCCATAAGGAGCTCACACAGACCACCAGGGAGAGATGGACGAAAGAGGAAGTTTATTGTGGGGATAGGGGTTTATAAGGCTTTTAGGAGGGTCAGAAGGGGACCAATTACAGGTTCAGGGTCATACAGAAAAAACCAATCAGGTAAGGAGTTAACAGCCAATAGGAAGGGGTTAACAAAGACCAATGAAAAACATCTCAGGACATCTTCCCAGGACATTCCCATATGGGAGACAATAGTCCTTCTCAGGGGGTGTCGGGAAGAAGGGGCAATGACTTTGCAGAAAAGCAAAAGCCATTTTAAAACCTGTTTAAACCACCTTAAAAACTTCTGTTTCTATAACATTTGAGCGGTTTTCTTCTTTTTCTTCTCTAGTCCGTCTCTGACAGGACTTCTTCCATCCTACATATGGCAAATCCATTGCCACATTTTATATGTGAGGGTGTATGTTTTTGCCTTGTGCACATCTTCTGGAATTTTGGTCGTTCATTTGGACAGATATGACCAAATAATTGCCCGGGAAACTGAGTCATGAAATGCTTGACGTTGGTTATATCCTTGTGATATTTTTTCATTGCAAGGCATGTTGGAAATGAGCTTGCCAGTGGTGTGAGTTGAGCCACTTGTAATAATCCAGTAATGGCCAAACCCAACATGTGTTGTTTGCTCTCATAAATACAGCTGTCAAAGCTGTCAGCAGCAAAGACTTGTATGTGTATTTAATAGCAGTGGAGAAGGGGCTGTACAAATGGTAAACAAAGGCACTTGAAGCCCTATTGGATCTGTGCATCTCCCTCAGCTGAAAGACTGTGCAAACATTATACCCCACCGTCACTCAGAGCCTTGCAAAGCCATCTGATTCAGCTTGAAACAAAACCAAGCTGCCCAAAGCAATTGAGCGTTTCTTGGCAAACTGTTTATCAGTAGACTGAATCTGTGCTGCATAATTGGAGATTAGAATAAGTAATAAGACTCCTAGGATGCTCTTAAAGTGCTATTTTGTGTTTTGGGAGTGCATATTCCATAGTGGTTCAGAGATAACAGCATTTGTTAACATCTCAATCCTGTCTTGTCTGTATCTTTCCTAAAATGTTTAAATGGCCACAGACATATATTGCCCTGCTTTTATTTTTTTTGCATCATCTATTACTTTATAGTCTATGGAGAGTAGTTTGAACCAAAATAGTGAAGCAGAAAACTGACAGTTCACTGGAAGATAACAGCATAAAGTCCTGTTGCTGTACTGTGAAAAAGATTCTGTTGCAAAGATCAGTGCCATCAGCTCTGTTAAGACAGAAGAGCTAATGGGGACTGTGTGCCACTGCGGACTGTATTTAAATAGGGCATCTGGTTTAGATCAAATTTGGCATTAAAGAGCTCTTTTAACCTCATGTAAAACTTTAAAATAATCTTTTTGGATGAGGGATTGGATATTGGAGCCAGTATATTCTGTATTTTCTTTCCTTTTCCTGTTGTTATCTCCATTTCTTGGAATAGGATGGTCCTTACATACAGAGCTGTCTCTTTTTGTACCTGTCTGCCTAGCTGTCATTTCCTCCAGATCAGTTACCACAGGCTATGAAGTAATAATAATGAGCAGCAAAACAGATGAGGAAAGTCCATAAGCCATTCCTCTGTTCCTGTTTGTAATATCAGGCGGTTTGGGTGGAAATGACTGCTTTGAATGAAAGAAAGATTAATTTTTGAAGTAAAAAACCATCAGTATCAGCAGTGCTCCAAAAATCTGAGGCAACATTTTCATGCCAATGTCTTTTATTTCTGTATAGAATGATTTTTATATTTTGCAGTAGCCACTTCTGACTCTCTAAACTCTACAAGTGTCTGAAAACAGCTAGTGCAAAGATGCTACAATAACCACAGCTATGCAGGGATTATTCTTAAACTCAATAATGAAGTGATTTCGAAATAATTGAGACAGCCTAAAATGTTTCTGTCATTCAGGTTAACAGGTTGTGACTGTTTTACTTTAAAAACTCTACCTGATTCAGGCATCTAATTTCAAGTGTTACCTTTTTCTTCTCTTGAATCTGTAGTTTGTACCTTGTCTTTGAAGCATAGTCCAGTGTGTATAGAGTACAGTCATGCAAAATGGATGGCTGGTCTTCTGGCATCAGCCACTGTTGAGGTTCTTAATTGAAATGTTTTGTATCTGTCTGGCAGACAGTCTTCCAAGCAGAAAAGGGCTATTCAGACTGCCATACGAAAGAACAAAGAAGCCAATGCTGTGCTCGCCAGGTTGAACAGTGAGCTCCAGCAGCAGCTGAAGGTAAGGAATGCATTGCAAATCAGTGACAAAACTCCTTGTAATCAGTTATGTGTCACCTCCAGCAGAGAATCTTGTTCATCCTCTCAGATGAGACCTATTTCATTCCTTCCTGCTTTCAAGAAGGGAATAACTGTATTGTATATGTGGGTAGGATGGTGCTTCCTGTGAAAAATTACAACCTATGAGTGTACAGCTCCACTGGCAGCATAAGTCTAAAGAATGAACTTCATCTTTCTGAAAAGTTTGATGTGATGGTGTCACCTGCTGCAGAAGACCAACTCAAGCCAAGCTTTCTTGTCTTCTGATCAGTTGTGCTACATAATTGTCTCCTGGAGTCAGGCATTTGAGATACATGGACCATGTTTTATGTGAGCATCTAACACTAATTTTTAATGTCTGCTGACTTGTCCTTTAATGTGTTCCCAAGGGGCTGTTTTCTTATAAATATCAGTTCTTCATTTTTCCATTGTCTTAGTCCAAATGAAGTAGACTTCAGGTTTTTATCTCCTACAGCTTTTTCTTCCTTGCATGTTATGAACACGCTTGTCTGGAAAGGGTGGTGAACCTGCAGATGCACTTTTTTTTTTCGGTCAGGGGGGAAGTTTGATTGCATGTTCAACTTTGCTTAACGTAATTTCTTAACTGCTTTTCAAGGATCTCCCAAGAGAGATTGAGGGTGGATGCTCTGCACTGAAATCAGAGCAAAATATAGAACAGTAATTGAAATAAGCATAGAGATGAAAGCTTTTAATGACAGCACATTGTCATCATTCCTTGACTCAGGTCTTACCTGCTCCCTTCTTCAGCCGACCAGTGCTGTTACCTGTGTTTTACAGCAGGAAAAGACATAGAGGTTTGCCTAAGTTCACACAAGAGCTTGTCCTTTAAGCTGTGTTGCTGCCTGGAAACTTTCTGATAAAGCAGGGCTCTGCTGTTTTTATGGAGACCAGAAGACTTGATGGGTACTCCTCAGGCACATCTTACACTGAGGATGGGGAAGGTTCAAGTGCACTCCCCTGCTGGGGCTCTGAGCCTGCCCAAATGGGGAACCAAAGCCTGGAGGAGGTTCAGCCCAGCTCCCACACTGGCAGGGAGCCCTTTGATGGGAGGTCAGCGAGAGCTGGGTGCCTCTCCATACAGGGGCACCCTTGAGACAAGGAGAGCTTTCTGAAAATCACTGGTCCCCAAAGCCTTCATGCTTAGTTTCTGACTGAGACTGATGATCTTCCTGCTGCAGCAGCCACAGAGGTAGATTGCAAAATCTAAGTCTTGTTCATTTTCCAAAGGAAAGAGGCTGCTTGTAGAACAAAATACTATCAAAAAGCAGTTTTGAAGGAAACCTTATTTCAAAATAGCCTGATTTTCTTTGGTAAAAGTGGCCATTTGAGGCTATCTTTGCTGCAGCCCCAGCTGTTCCACTGGCCAGTGGATGACTGCTCCTCTCCGTGGTCACCCAAGCACGTGGTTAAACCTCTGTGTTGCCCCCTGTAAGGAGGAGGCAGCAGAAGCTGTGCAGGGGGGTCGTATGGAATTGGTGCTGTGTTTTGAGACCACAAGGACAGTTACTTTAACAGCAGAGCCCCAAGCCTTGAGTCAATGCCAGTGGTTTGCCTGGCTGCCCTTTGCCAGAGCAGGGTGGTGCATTCGAGCATCCCAAAAGTTAGAACACACATCTCTCCCTCCTGCAGGAGGTTCACAAGGAACGAATTGCCTTGGAAACACAGCTGGAGCAGCTACGTCCTGTCACCGTCTTGTGACTTCCCGCACTGCTGTGCTGAGCACGTGTCCCGACAGCCTTGCAAGGAGAGGACCTGGGTGTGGCTGAGCAGGGTTTCTGCCAAGGCAGTGGGGAGGACCAGCCTTGTCAGGTCTCCCCTCACCCCACTACACGCTTTTGCCTTTGCAGGTGAGGAAGAGACAGAAAACAAATACCTGACTGCCAGATATTTCTGAGTGGGGGATGCTTTGCCTTCTTTCTTCCTTCTTCCCAGCCTAATGTGTAAGAGCAGTTTATCACTGAAATGAATAACCTAAGAGTATTTTATTTATGTAAAGAATTCCTGATTTATATGCATTTTGGCAACACCTCCTGCCCTGCTCATTATGAGGTACAGCATTCCTGAATTCTTGCTTAAATTGAAAACTCATCTGCTGAGGATGTGCTTCTGGATGTCACTGATTCTTGTAGGATTGTATCATGGTAGAGTACCCCTGGATTTAACATACCATAGGAATAAAACTCACAAGATGTACAGAATCTTTATCCTCAATCACATGTCAAATAATTATTTTCTTAGTACTGTTTATTATGCAATCATGGATGTATTTTAATGTTAGAGAACTTGTATTTTAGAAGTTCAAGGCATATGAGAGAACAGTAAAAAATACTAAAATGTAGTTATTTTGGAGATTAGGAAAAATATCTTTTTTTGAACTACAGTTGTTTTTTATCACCAGTGTTTGATCACTTGCTTGCAACTGCCAGTGTCTGTGCATTCTTCTGGCATATTTGAGATCACTGGTTTATAGCTTTTTTCTTCTTTTTTTTTTTTTAAACCAACAGTGTGTTTCTAACAACAGGTTAAAAATCCATTCAGGGCATTTTTATAGAAGCTATTCTATGTGCATCTGTATTAGTCTGCTTTGTTGTCTTAATAGCTGCTGATTTTTTTAAGGATGTGTACAAGAACTGTATTTCCAAAAGAAGAAAGATAGCAAAGTGCTATGTATGAGGCTATAAAATGTGTGATGGAAATAATTGCCTTTTACAGCAGGCTTTTGTTAAGGTTCCTTTGCACATCAGTGGAGATGCTACTGATAGGATAAAACTGCTAATGCCCATCTATTTTCTAAATGAAGAAGCAAAGATGAATTTTTAACCTGCGTTTGATCCAGGGCCAACTGAATCCCGTGGGGATTTTTCCATGGATGCACTGGTCAGTGGCTTTGGTCTCAGTTCTTGCAATGGAAGCTGGCTAACTAATATTGCTGTATTTTTTTAGGCAATACTCTTAGATTGCGTGAGTTCAGACATAATAATATCAGCCCTGCTCCCACCATGGGTATGATGTGCTTCACTGCAAGGGAATGTCGCCTACCTGTTATCCACCTTAAACATGACACTGCACATGTTTCATATCCTGTTGCTCACTGACCTAATTTAAGTGTATGTGTTTGCCTGGCAGAAACAGTGCAAAAATTTTGTCACTGTCGTTGGTGTGACACTTTCTCCCTGTAGCTATAGGATGACCCTGGGGCTGAGAGGAAGGAGAAGCAGGTTTGAAGCAGCTGGGCAGCCTCTCTTCAGGGTGTATCGTGGAATGGCTGCCATGGCATATCAGAGGGCACCAGAGCAGCCAAAAGTTTTGTTGGGAGATAAGAAGGGCATCAATGAGAATGTTTAAACTGATGAGGAAACAGTCTACTTTTGCTGGAAAGAATGTGGATGTGGAACATGAATCCAGAAGTCTTAAGGTGAAAATTGCCATTTGCAGAATTGTTACTGAAAGTGTTTTTGTGATACATTAGTTTTGATTCAACTAAACATCACTATGTTAATAAAAAAGAACTGTTTTCTCTGGATTTGAGACTTTTCTTGTGTGACTATTGCATAGCTGAGGTCAGACAGTCATTCCTGGTCAGTGACAAAATGTGAGGAATGCAAACATTTCTGGGAAACTGCAAAAGAGCCACTGCCCTCTTGCTTGTAGTGATATTTTTCCAGATTTATCATCATTTATTTAATTTGTTCATAGTATTACTGAGTCATTCTGGAGATTTAATGAGGCTAAGTGCTCTCTCTCTTTGCTTTTTAGTTCTTATGTTGTCATTTGGTTAATAAACCGTTACTATTTGGTAGAAAATAATCGTATGGCACACTTGTTTTTTCTTATATGGGTGATATTTTAAGGAAAACTTTTCAATTATTACAAAGAAGTGTGCATGCTGCATTTTTAAGGCAGTGGAGGACTTTTTCATGTTTGATAGGAGCTTCCTTTGGAATAATCTTGCATTTATTTCACTTGAGTTATTCATGGAGTAGATGCTGTTCTAAGGAATTATGGAAGAGTCTGCTTTATAGTGTCTTTTTCAAATGTCTCCCTTCTAAAATATGGAAAGTTTTTTCATTCACTGGAAATTATGATCCATGCTTAACCAACAATGAAATACTTACTTGATTGTTACTTTACCACTGGACTTAATAAATAAAATATTTAACCATCTCTGCATTTTTAGAGTTGCAGTCAAATGCCCTGCTCAGCTTCAATGACTATAACGTGAGTTGATTTGTATTCTTTTTGGTAAAATGTCAGTTATGATGGTGATACACTAGTTCACATAAAGAGTAAAGTGAAATATTCAAGGAGAAATGTTGGTGTGTTTTACATATGGTGCAGAAGTTACTCTTCTGTGTGTCTCAACAGTTAAGCATTTATGATAGCCCGTGCAAAATGAAAAAGTATGTCTAGTCTTGGGAAGCTATTAGCATTTTGAAGAGAGGAGAAGGCATCACGAAGCTATATAGACAGTGCTTCTGGCAGTTGCTCCGTGCAGCCATGCTCATGGCTACTGTTAGCAGGCCTTGGCTGGTCCAAGTTCACATCTAAATCCAGGATCACAGATTTTCTCAAAAATTATTTTTCCTTTAGAAAAATGTGGGTGTAGCAAAATCATAATTTCTTGCAGAAACCTTTGCTTTCTCAAACTTTGGATGGGAGATGCTCCTAAATTCAAAATCAAAAAGGGAGACCTCAGAGGCACTTTGCTTGACCTGCAGGTGAGTGATCAGCTTTAAGCCCCTGACATGCCTGACCCAGAACAGTAACTAGGGTCTGCCTGTCCCAGCTTCCAGCCTGACCAAGGAGAGAGAGCAGATTCCCATGCATAAGCTCTCACTGTCCTCAGTTCATGGTTTCTGTATGTACTGGGCAGAGAACATGCCCAGCAACAGAGAATAAATGGGAACAGGAGGTGGAGCTCGGCATCCTTGTATCTGAGAGGATGTGCTGACTGTGAGCCCCATGCCCCATTCCCAGTCTTCAACTGGACAATTAAATATTTTTATCTGGAGAACAGGACTAGGCAGAGTAGATAAGGATCTTCCTCAGTGTGGGTGTAAGTGTGCACTCATGTCTTCCTTTTGATTTTGCATTTCTTTATGGATCTGTTAATGTTTATATCACCAGGAGGAAGAGAGCCTGTAAAAGTTGCTAGCTAGGGAATGAGGGATGTCCATTTCCCAGTACCTTCAGCCTTCAGCATACACAGTCCTTGACAAGAAAATACATGGGCTCATGAAACTGCATATTTTATTGACTAAAGAGTACTTTTTCAGGAAAAAAATAAATCTAAGTGATGCAGTGTCTTTGAGAAGAGATGATGTATTTTGAAGCTTTTTTCAGCTATCTTCATGATAATGTGCTATGAACATATGCATTATGTTTTACTCTGTTACTGATTTTTTGATATAAAAATTGTATTGCAAGCATTGTCATTGTTAATCTAAAAAAAAAATACCCCAAGGCTATTAAATATTTGAATTTTAATTTATAAATTGGTTAGCCAGATTTAAGTAATTTGTTTTCACAGCTGCAGACTATCCCCATGGTAAGCTGCAAAATGTATAGTGTTCTATACTATGCCCATCTAATTTTGGAAAATGTATGTGATATGAAGCTGGGTGCTACATTAAAATAAAAGCGTCCAATAACGTCCAACTGCCTTGCTTTTGTGGTTTATTTAACATGTTGATGGTGCAGACCTGCAAGGAGGGCAGAAACTGTGACTCGCTGTGGAAAAAGTACCGTGTTGAAATGGCTGACCTTCAGCTATGAAAGATGAAATCACTTACATTGGGACTGCGTGTACGCGATAGAGACAGAGAGAGACTTATTTAAAGTGAAATCATATTTCCTTAGGCTTCAGTTAAGTCAAAACTTCATCTTTACTGTGTCAAGCCTCACTTTGTCTGAATTCAGACTGAACTCTGTGATTTAGCCCAAAGAGGCACACCCTTTCACCACCATGAAGGAAGAGGTGTTCCCAGCTTCTGTCAGACCCTTGGTTGGAGGGTGCCTAGGCAGGACCTGCAAGAGGATTCAAGCTGTTCCCCCCAGCACTCCTGTGATCAGTGTTCTTGGTCCCTCATCAGCTGCAAGAGCTGAAATTAAACTGGGAAAAGGAAACCATTTGAATAGCTGGCCTTTGTGGGCAGGGAGCTGGAGGGGACAGCGTACTTCTGCTCTTTAACTAGTGTGATTTTTAAGAATTATGTCACAGCTGTCCAAAGAGCAGCGCTTTAAAAGAGGAAATAATGAGTGATAAATTAATTCTTCCAGCATTAAGCCATGACAAGGGATGTTTTATTGGCCTAAAAGTATGTCTCTGGTGCACGTGAGGCACCAGGCCAAGGCATTAAAAACTTGTAAATATCCTGTGGGGAGCTGTTCTCCATTGGCAGTGGGATGGATTTAGATGGCTCCTCAATTCTTAGTTTTTACAATTAGATGATACTCTGGGGTGCCTTTATGCAAATCTAGATTGGCTCTCTGTATTTAAATTCACGTTCCAAATAATCTATCTTAAAAATGCATCTTCCCACTCTAGAAAAAAGTTCTTAGTTGAAGGGGGAAAGAAGAGAAGCAGGAGAAGCTTCAAAAGCCATTTTATATCTGTATTTTGAACCAGTGCTGCTTCACAAGCGTGCCTCATTTGGTGGGATGCTTACATGGTTTCTGCAGCAAAGCAGAATAAAGGAACATTAACAAAGAAGTGGAATCCCTGGGTATCTGCAACCCATAGCCAAATCAGAGCTCTTTCACCTAGTGATCTCATTGCTCCTCCTGTTTTACTGTGCCCTCAAATGCGCCTTGGAGTGGGAGGCCTTGGAACCAGCTTGCAGCAGGTTCTCAAGTCCTCAGTATTGCCTCAGTGCCCACCATTTTGGGCATCCATCTGCAAACAGTGGCATTAGCTGTTTCCCAGATGCGTCACCCCAGTAGTCCCCCTGCTAAATGCTGAATCAGTATTCCCAGTTAAATTCTGAATGGCTTTATGTTTATTGATTGTTAACCTAAATAGCATAAGGTAGAAAGAATGTCTTATCTGAGGACATTTTGAGGATGCTTTATGCATCAGAAATGTGATGGGCTAGACAAGACTAAGGCTATATATTGCATCTAGTCTGGGGTTTTTTTGGGAGGGAGGGAGAGGGGATTTCTTTCCTTAGCTGGGCTGATCCCACAAGACATATCATCTTTTTATGTGCCATCCTTGGTTCATGTAGGGAATTCTCTCATCAGTGTGCTGTTGTTTTCAATGAAACGTAGTTATAACAGCTGGTATGTGTAGGTAATGCCTCACTGCCCCGGGCCCTCCACCAGGGTCTCATTGCCCTCCAGAGATGAGCAGGAGTGGAGCAGTGATAGTGTGTCCAGCCCTGTGACAGCAAATGGCATGCAGAGCCCAGCAAGGAGGAAAGAGGAGAAGGAAGCGATATGTTAGCTCTGGTAGGACCAGGATGGAGGGAAAACGTGACTCAAGTAATATGCTTCTGAGATGGAAGGGGAGTCAGTGTACTTCCACCACCTTGCTTGACCCCCATACAAAAGAATAACATGCTCAAAAAAGCTCTGCTGGACACCTCACTATCAGGAAGCTTGGACATAGGGCTACCAATTGGTGCACGAACTGTTCCCTTCCAAAGTAACTTCAGGAATTCAGTAGTTCATGCTGTCTGTCACAGGTTTCAGTTGCATTAAGCCAGCGATACTGGTATCAGCAGACCAATACAGAGCGTGCATTGTTTACTACAGTTTTCACACTCTTATCTGAAAGGAAAAGGCCAGCACATGATCTCACCTGGGTCTTGTTTCTGTTCCGTGCTATTCCTAAAGGACACTGTATGCTCAGTCAGAAATAGTGGCTTCCTGTTCAGTTAATGAGTTCTTAGAGCAATTTCCCTTCAGAGTAATCACACTGGGGGAAGGAGGTGTACACTTCCAAAAGTGATTAACCTTCCTGGTGGGTCATACTGGGAGGCGCCATTCTCTGGCAACAGAAAATCAACTCACTTTTGGGTGTCTAAACTTGGATGCTAAAGAGACCAGTGCTGCCTGAGTCATCAGTCACTTGAAGCTATCAGTGAAAATGTCTTCTCGGATTAAAAAGCTCTCCTTGGGAAAAAGTTTGTTTCCAATGCTTGGTACGATAGACAAAACAAAAAGAAAAAAAATGAAACAAAACCAGAAGCACTCCTCCACTTACATTAGAGGAAATAGTAACACCTATTTTTAAGCCCATTTATTCTTACAGCCTTTCAAACTGCTGCTGCAGGTATGTCATCCTCCAATTAGAGCTGGCCATTAAGTGCACTTGAAACAATGTCAGAGTGAGAGCAAATAAGTTTAAGTGTTTGGGTTGAGTGTGGCAGGCAGTGCTGGACTGCAGATAGAGCTACTGCTGGACTGCAGGGGCTGAGGCAGAGGCAGGCCAGCAGCATCTTCTTCCTCCTCTGAATTTTGTCACCATAGGTAAACTCTAGTTTGAGGAATAAAAATGCAGCTTGATTTCTCCCACCTTAGTTATAAATCTAACTTAGCTTAATTCATATTTTAATGAGTTGAATCCTCAGCTATACTATTACTCTTCCCTCTAGTTGATTCATTATCTTATTTTCTAGATTTGGCAACCCGCACTTTCTTGGTTTTGCACGAACTAGGAAGGCTGAGCAGAGTGCAGGTGCTTACTGGCTTGTCCTAATTTCAGCCCATAGCTTGGGGGACTTGGCATGCTTTTGCTCTGGGTACAAATGTATGGCTGAGTTTACGTCACTGCTCTGGTTTAGTTGATCCTGGAAGTGGCTTTGGCTGCAGGTGATGCAGCACAGGGGCCTCTTCATGATGTATCATCTGGATGGACATGGTCTTATCTTGGACTTGGAGCTCTGCAAGCTGGATATTGAAACGGTCAGTGGAAACCTGCACTTGGCTCAAACTGTGCACAGAAACCTGCTTGACAGAGTTTGGGAAAAGTTACAGAAATAATATTTGAGAGTAATAGCAGCACCAGCACGACACGCAGAGCTGTAGCTCCAGGTTGGCCCATCTCATTCAAGATGTCACTCTGACATTGGACAGTGCTCCAAAGTGTTAGAGGAAAAAGAAGGAGCTACAAAGTTGTCAAAAACAATTCAGTAAATAGTTTGGGTAACCACTGCCTTGGCTGGCATGCTGGTGTTTCTTCTGGCATCTCTGGAGCCTGAAGCATGGACTGCTGTAGGTTGCTCGAGGCCAACATCTGCTTCAATTCTGACCACAGCCATTTCTCTCTTCCTTAAATGGAGAGCAAGGAATACCTGTAATGCACACTCAGCAGTATAACCTCTGTACAGACATATTTACAGAAGTTTCTGCTTTACTTTTCCTTTTGCAATTTGTTATTTGATATGTATTTTTTTTATAATTTCCTGTGTTTTCTTCACTATAGACAGAGGAATTCCCGTATGTTCAGCCTCTCTTCTTCCAGACATTTCTTTGTCTCTAGTTGCTTTTTTTGCTTCTCTCTTTTTTGGGGGACTTTTTGGGGGTTTTTTTGATAATAGGGTAGCCAAAACTGAATCTACTTTGTTGTCATCTCATTTCTGAAGCAGTGACTCTGTAAAAGAGAGCATCATAACACCCAGGGGTTTATACTTCTTATTTTCTTTTATTTTCCCTGTATCTGGTGGCCCTGCAGACATGAGCTGGCATCATGGAAGGGTGGGATCATACTAGTGAATTGATAAATTTGTAAACAACATTGTACAAGTCCGTAAAAGAAGGTGTGAGTCTCTGTCTCTCACTCTCTTTTCTTAATGTTTGCATCACACTTGAGGCATCATTTTAAAGTAATAATATTTTTCATAAACCATCAGATGTGTGTGAACCACCCTGCCCCATAGCAGGTATGCTCTGTAACTGTATTTTTCAGGAGACTGCATGGGAAAGTTTCTGTATGACCTGGAGAGGAAACCTCAGGCCTTACCTAATTGAAAGCCTATATCTTCCTGAAAAACAGTGCTGAAAAAAGTGTCTCTTCAGATGCATAAAAATTGTCCTCTGACCTTGTGCACTTTGATTTCCACTCCATCAGATAACAGCATCACTGTATGCATCTCCTGAATCCCAAGCTCAGGATTTGTTGTGGAGCTTATGGTAATGGTGACTCTTAACATGGGCTTGGGAAGCTCCCAGGGAAAAGGACCATTTTGCAGGTAATTTTGCATCCTGAGGTGTCTCATTAGCAGACAAATCTATTTAGTCTTAGGAAGAAGAAGCAGGATCCAAATGCAGGGGAGAAGTGAG